CATACACATACACACACACAAAACTAAATCGTTCTCATTATAATCAGTGAACTTTATCTATATTCACTTTTCTGGTAAATACACCATAATTGCTGTACACACAACCAACTGCTTTCCTTGTTTTTATTGTTAAAGGGATAATTCACTCAAAAATGAAAATTGTGTAATTTACTCACCCTCTTGTTTTTCCAAACCTATAAGACTTTTGTTCATCTGCATAACACAATTGAAGATATTTGTAATTCTCTCATCATTTTTGTCAATCCATTTAAAGTTCAAGCAATCACAATTTTCAAGCTTCAAAAAAGTTCAGAAAGACACTGAACTTATGACCAGTCCATATGAATGGAGTGGTTTAATCCAAATCTTCCGAAGAGATGCGATATGATGAACAGATTTAATTCTGTCTTTTATGCATATATATATATAGCTCTGAAAAAAATTGAGACCACTCAAATTTTTTCTTAAATCAGCATCTCCACATGACACACAGACACACCTCATTCTGCTTAATGGAGTACTGATTAGGTGATCGCCTCAACCAAATCTCATTTAACGAGAAAAAGTATAAAAACCACTGCTGTGGTCATCACTGTCCTCTTGCAATAGGGATCAGCTGGATGGCAAAACAGTGCTAGTAGTACCTCAAAAATAATTGGAATCAAATAACTATTGACCATAACAAAATAATTAAAAAGATAAGTTTTGAGTGAAGAAGGGTTCAATTCTGGCTTTACTGGCAGAGGGACACAGTGAGGTTGCTTCTATCCTTAAAATTTCAGACAGTGGTTCAAGCTGCAGATATTGGGGACAACAAAGCTACAGACCAGCAGAGAGCGAAAGCGACTCTCCACTGACTGAAATGACCACCAACTCATTTGAATGTCACCCAACAACTGTAGGATGACATCAAGTGACCTACAAAAAGAATGGCAAACGGCAGCTAGGGTGAAGTGCACGGAGAGAACAGTTTGAAACAGGATCCTGGTTGCAGAGCAATGCTAGAAAAACGCCCTTCATCAATGAGAAGCAAAGAAGAGCCAGGCTGAGGTTTGC